AAACGTTGAATTAATTCAGATGACGTTCAGTGATGATGTGTTCTGCTCGATTGCTCTCCAGAAGTTGAAAAATAATTGACCTGATGGCAAGAGAATAAAATCCTCCAGCACAGGCTATGTCCACAAGTGGTCAGCCTCCATGGAGCAGTGAGTTACTATCTGGCACCTTGTTGTACTCGACAATAGCAAGAGCATAGTGCTAGGGAAGGAGTGAAAGAGTTTCCGGGCTATGCTGGCCAGTAACAGCCACCTGAGGATGTATGGCAAGAATTTCGCAAAGTACTGTGAGATTAACAGCAACTGGAGGATCAGTATGGCCGAGTGGTTGAGCTGTTTGAATGCACAGAAACCATCCCAAGGTATATAAAAAAGAAAATGCAAAAAATTGAATAAAAGACAAGAGTAGCTGAGAAAATGTGACAATCAACACAATTTTCATCATGGATAAATAAAATTTAATAAATCCATAAGATTAATTATTAAATAGCAATATAATTATTAATTATTATTAAATATTTATTAAATTATAAAATATAAATATAATTATTAATTACCCAACCGGGGTAATTGATAGTAATTATCAGTCAGGATATAAACATTTTACACCAATATCGGCTAAACCGGGTATCGAGGTATCGGATTAATCTTTACACACAACCCTTGGAGTAAGCGGATTCCCCGTGAACTTATTACTGTAGCAACCAAGATCAAAGTGGTCAACCCTCCAGCTGAAGAATAAGACAAGCCATCTTTAACCAGCGAGCTAAACTCAAAACTTTTTTGTCGGAAATTTAATCAGCTACCAAAAAAACCTTCAATGTTTTCATCTCAAGTTATTAGCTTTCGATATAAATTAGTATTTAACAAAGAAATTATTTACTTAAACTTCAATTATGTCATTTGAGAACTTCGCTACGGGTGTGAAGAATTTAGTAAGAGCAATAATTAGATTATATTCCCGAAACATAACTTCTCTGAATGCATTGTTCACCAATATCCAATTATCGAATTCCGCACTTCATAAATCCTCGATAATGATGGGAAAGTAATTGTCTAGAGCAATAACAAAGTGCTGATGTGTCTATTCAACTGTAATTATTAATTAAGAATCAATTATCACAACTGAAAACAATGTCCACTGTATCAGGAATGCAAGCAATTTTCTGTATGCTATGAATCTGTCGAGAGATGCGTTCTCAATTGTCGTAATATCAGTGATAATTACACGATTGGCTGTTTTGTCTGTAGAAAAATTATGTATTTCCTGGTAATAAACTAAAGTGCACACATTCACCGAATTAATTAAGGAATTTATATTGTATGCTCAATAGGGAAGTTTCCAATAAGAATATAAAATTCAGAGAAATTTATTCTAGTGAGAGATTGAAAACAATTCCAGGCTGAATTTGAGAAACAAATTAAAAAGTAATTTACAATTCAAAAAACATGAATTTCAATAGTTTTTCGATTCCCTAAAATTTGGAAATGATTTGCCCAATGATGAGAGTTGAAGCTTAAAATTCAATATATGCGAATTTATGAACTGAATTGTTCGAGGTTTGTTTCTGCAAACTTCCCCTAAAAAAGAATTTTTTAAATAATTATAACAAGTGTTAGTAATTGGATCGCCAAAACCGCGAATTATATTGACAGTCTCATATGGCCCTTTTTGTTTTAAATATTAATCTGAATTATACTTGCGGGTTCAATAATGAAGTATTTATATGAAGGTACCCACTTATTCATCAAACTATGATTCCATATCCAGTTACATTTCTCATCATTCACTACTTCTGTACTCTTTTTACGAGTAAAAGCCAAAGAATAAAGAGTCCTCCGAATACCAGACGATACCACTCAAATCTGATAGTTTTGAGTTAATTGCAAGCAGTTACACCCCTTGGAACTCCGCTCCTTCAAGTCACGATTAGACAAGCATATATTGGAATCCTTCTGAAATAAATATACTGTCAAAACCTGAGCTAAATCGATTTATTGCACAAACGCCGCCTATACTACTGAATAGTCCTCGTTTTGAATTAACTAGGGAAAGAACATGTTTTCCTTTTAATTCTTAATCAAAATCAAATTTAATCTCTGAAACACGTCAATAACATTTCGCAAATTAAACAATTGTACTTCGTTAGTGGTGAAAAACCCGAGCCTTTCATTCTATAATTTCCTTGGCATCACCATTTCTCTCCATTCCTGGTCTCCGCCTTAGCTTTCTGTCTCGTTGTAATAAAAAAATACATATTACGATACTGGAAAAATTTTAAAGGCTGCACATGGGCTACCACATGCAACACAAAACAATCCAGGTGGTCGCGCTCGCCTTACTTCAAGTTCGGTACAACCTTCGCAAGCAAACCAATGTTCACATGGGAGTGAGATGAAGTTGAGGATGGAATTGTGGCACCGCAGACATTTCGAATGATTGAGGTCTTCCACTGTAAAAAAAAACGATATATACTTTTTAATAACAAATGTGTATAGCTTGTTTGATCGTTTATGGCGACATAGCTAATCTTTAGCCATCAATATGATCTTCCACGACAAATATGTCAACCGCTGACCCTCATCACCCTCTTGGAAATCGATGGCGATTTTTTTCACAATTGGTGAAATTGAAAAAGTAATTCTGAATTTATTCTGGCGGTCCATTTCGGAGATACAATTTTTTAAAGACATTTTTCGATACATAATCGAAATCGTTCGTTTCGAAGAGAATTAAAAATACAATAAATCCAGGAGGGTACCTTGCTGGAATAACGACTAAAAAAACAAGTTTTGATTATAAAAATTACTAAAAATGAAATGAAATAAATCAAAGTGAGGCAGTTTGCAAAATTCAACTTTTCCAACTTTTCTCTAACAAAGTCGTTGTTATGAGTAACTAGAAATCTCGAAATGACAGTTAAAAGTTCGTAAATTTTTTGTATACGCAGAAAGTCAAACTCGTGCAAATAACAGTCGAGTTATTAGGAAAAAATGAAACAATTCAAAGAAATTATAGCTCCGAAATGGCCTGCCGAAAAAATCTGAGAATATTCAACACATTGTTTTTCAACCACACCTTCCACCCCTCCAATAAGGAAATTAAATCATCATCGATTTTGAAGAGGGCGAACTTCTGCGGTTGACATATTTGGTGTAGAAAATGTCAAGTGGGCCACCTATTCTTATCCTAGTTTCAATTTCAATATAGACTTTTTTTTATTAGTTATATATTTTCTAAGAATTTTACAGTTTTTTAGCACTAACATAGCACAAACACGGGCACAAGTATGTTTCTGATTTTTTCGATGCGATAAATTCAGCAATTATTTCGGAAGGAAAAAAATAACTATAAATAACATTGAGTGGGGTAAAGCGGAACAACCAAAAATGCATTTCTAATTGATTATTTCTTCACTTGAAATTTTTTTCCTTTTTTTCTTTTTTTTCCATACTAACAGTCCATAACTGACCCTTCGAGTTTAAGTTTGCCCTATTTGTATATAGAAACTACTTTTTAACAAATGAAAATAATTTGGACAGAACAGAAAAATGTGGAATGCCGGGCAAAGTTAAATATAAACCTAAATATTCACTAGCTTCAAAATTTACTCTCTTACTCACAGATTACGATGTTATCCTCATATTGGGCAGGGATAGTCATATCAGTAACTTTTGATTAACGTTATTGCATTACTGTAATAACCGTCAATTTGATGCACAGAAAAATAATTATTTGACTCATCGATCACTCAAGAAATACAAAATTCAGTTATGAATTATTTAATATTCATCGATACAAGAATTTTAAGTAATTAGGTAACCAATAATCTGGCCTACATTTTCGGGAGTATTTGAGATAATGAATGTTCGTACTGTATATTTGTCGATTATTCAGTTACTCAGCAATCATAGTTTCACAATGATATCAATACATGATGAATCACCAGATGAGATCGTATAAACATCGATAAAACATTCAATCATGCATTTATATTCAAGAAATTGTCAATTACTCTGACATTAACCACAGGGAAATTTTTTCAAAAATATTTTCTCAATCCATAATCAAAGTGGACAAGTCTACAATTATTCATATATAGAGTGTGTATCTGCTGAAACAATCAATTATGCGATGGAATCACGACTCCGACCAGTACACATATTGATTAATAGTCTATCCTATAATATTTAAGTTTGAAAAATATTCAATTCATTCATTAATCGGTAAGCATAATGATAAATTTTTTAATTAATTCCTATATCATCAATCAATGGTTGAATGTTTCGTTAAATTCACTTTAGTCAATAGTGGTGAGGAAATTTGTAATGAATTAATTAATAAATATTCAAAATCAAATACTTTTCAATCAATCTATCAACCATCAGCCAGCTGCTAATTATTTCGGCAAGTTGAATTTAATCAGTAATTATCTCCTCGCAGTTCTTGATTAGGCAATCAGTATTGAAGACTAGAAGTTAATAGATTAGTTTTTCAATCTACATTTGTTCAGTAGAACTTTCCAATTATAATATTTATAAAAAGGATTGATTTCTCTGCGCGTATAAAAGTGGCCAGCAAGTGAATAAATTTGATCGAAGTAAGAACCAAAAGATCAACAGGGAAAAAAAACAGAATATAGTGTACTCGCCATATACAGTGAACATGAACATTTCGAGGTTCTGAAGATTTTCAAAAATAACTTCGTGACGAACTCCTTGGTCAACCGAGTTGTATTTTTTTAATTTTTTTCATTTTTTCGGGTATGTGTGTTTTTTTGAACACAAGTTAAAATTCGAGTAAGGCTTCTGGGGGACTCCTCTTATTTACGAGGGTCCGGAAGGAAAATTTACTTCTCCTTCCGACACTAATAATATTTTTAATGCCGCGAAATACCCTGCGTCGTGGTACAATCCACGACATCGAGACTTATCGGGAAGAAGAGAGGCCAAAATAATTTTTGGGAGACCTGGAGAAGTCTAGATGACCCCGTTGACGAGAATCACAGGGAGGATCCGGCGACAGCGTCCCTCTCCGAGCCCGTGCTAATTGAATGGACGCAAAAAATGTCTGCAACCCAGAAATCCAACGTCTCGAATTGCTAGAGGTATT